TCCTTCCTTCCTTCCTTCCTTCCTTCCTTCCTTCCTTCCTCTCTCTCTCTCTCTCTCTCTCTCTCTCTCTCTCTCTCTCTCTCTCTTTCTTCTTTCCTTTCTTTCTTTCTTTAAAGGAACTATATTTAACTTAACTCAGTATTTCCTAAATTCATTTGACCATGTAACCCCTTCCTAATCTTGTCTCTCTACAGACAATTTATGAGCAGCTCCCAGAACTAATACTTCCAGAAAGACACTCTGGAAAATACTCTTTTTGACTGATAAGGGATAGAATTAATTCAGATGAGTATTGCATCTTTCCAAAGCTTCAAATCTCTAATTATTTCACTCTTGGAAGAGAAGACAATAGCATAACCAAGTGTTGAGAAGAAAAGGGTTTCGGGAAATTACAAGGCCACCTGATCAAAGGTACACACTCTACTTACTTGAGGAGATTCCCAAGATTGAACAGAGCCCGGTTGTGCTGTGGATTTAGCTGGAGAGCCCTCTGATAGTACATCTTTGCCTCTGCTGTGTTCCTCGTCAGTGTTCCAAGGTTGTTCAGGGCACTTGCATGGCGTGGATACAACCTAAAAAATTTTAAAATATTAAGCCATGAGTGTTCAAAAACTTCTAAGTTGGACAGTTTGCCTGTTCTACTTTCCACCTCCCCCACCTATGCCACAACCAAAAAGAAACACTGAATTCTTCCTTTATTTTAATGGTACATCTATGCCAAATCCTTTTTAATGCAATTTTGTTGAGATATAACTGACATGAAGCACTGTGTAAGTTTAGGTATACAGCGTAAGAATTTGACTAATATATATTGTGAAATGACTGCCACAATAAGTTTAGCTGACATCCATCATCTACATATATAAAAGGCTAACATGCAAATTGTCCCCATAGGAGTTCAAGCAGGAAACTGGGAGTTTAATTGCTCTCTATGATGTGTGCTGACCACCGGGTGGGGGTGGGGGGGGAGGTGTGCAGAACAAAGGAAGGCCCCAGTTGGTAGCTGGAAGCCAGCAGCCTGGGAAGGGAGGCCCTGGCTGGTAGCTGGAAGGCCCCAATCAGCCCTGATTGCCAGCCAGGCCTAGGGACCCTACCCGTACACAAATTTCGTGCACCAGACCTCTAGTCTCATATAAATACTCACAAAAAAGAATGTTTTCATCCTTATGAAGATAACTCTTAGGATCTACTCAGTTAACAACTTTCATATGTACCAAACAGCAGTGTTATTAGCTATAGTCATCACGTTGTATATTATATCCCTGGATCTCATTTATGTTATAACTGGAAGCTTGTACCTTTTCACCACCTTCATCCAATTCCCCAGCTCTGGTAATCAACCATGGATTTTGTTTTCTATGGTTTTGTTGTTTTGTTTTATTTCAGTTTTTTAATTTACTTTAGATTTCAAATATAGGTGCGCTCATACGGTACAGTAAAACTCATTTAACATTGTCAATCAATTCTGCGACTTTATAATGAAATCTATTTTATCATAGGACAATTGTTATAAACAAGATTTAATCTCCCAAAGTACTCATTAGAATTATAACTAAACCTCATTGAATGAAATTATGTTATGCAAGATCTGCTGTATTTGTCTTTCTCTGACTCACTTCACTTAGCATAGAGCTATGTTGTCACAGTGGCAAGATTTCCTCCCTTTTTTATGACTGAATAATATTTCACTGTGTGTAAATACACACCACAAGTTCCTTACACACCTTCTGTTTTCACATCTTGGTTTTGCAAATAATGCTGCTATGAATATGAGGTTGTAGATGATTCCTGGACATAGTATTCTCTTTTCCTTCAGATATATTCCAACAACTGGAATTGCTGGATCATGTGCTTGTTCGAATTTTAATTTTTTGAGGAACCTCCATTTTATTTTACATAATGGCTGCACTAATGTACATTTCCTTTTCTCTATATTTTACCAGCACTTGTTATTTATTTTTTGTTGTTTTTTAATATTAGCCATTTGAGGCTTCTGATCAAGGTGGCGGCATAGGAATATGTGGTACTTGCATCCTCCCACAATCACATAAAAATTATAACAAAGTTTCAGTGATGAAATGCAAGGACCTTCAACCTCTTTCCAGCAAAGTTATTTAGAATCAAAGGACATATAAAGAGCTTCCTAGACAAGAAAAAGCTAAAGGAGTTCATCACCAAACCAGTATTACAAAAAATGTTAAAGAGTTTTCTTTTTAAAAAAGATAAAAAATATGAACAATAAAATGGCAGTAAGTATATATCTATCAACAATCAAATCTAAAATACAAATAAATGAACAAATAGAGCAGAAACAGACACAAACTCATAGATACAGAGAACATTTTGATATTTGACAGATAGGGGCATCAGTGAGATGGGTGAAAAAGGGGAAAGGATTAAGAAGTATCCATTTGTAGTTACAGAATAGTCATGGGGATGTAAAGTATAGCATAGACAATAGTTAATAATATTGTAATGACATGTAAGGTGTCAGATGGGTATGAGATTCATCAGGATAATCTTAGTAAGTTATCTAAAGTATCTAAGTTGTACACCTGAAACTAATATATTATATGTCAACTTTAATTGAAAAAAAAATGATTTAAAAATATTAGCCATTCTAACCGATTCAAGGTTATACCTCATTATAGTTTTGATTTTCCTTGATGATTAATAATGTTGAGCGTCTTTTCATGTACCTGCTGTCCATCTGCATGTCTTCTTTGGAAAAATGTTTATTCAGAGTCTCTGCCCAATTTTTTGTTTGTTCTTGAGTTGTATGAGAGCTTTATATTTTTTGGATGGTAAATACTTATCAGATACATGACTTGTAAATATTTTCTCCCATTCTGAAGGTTGCCTTTTCATTTTATCGATGGTGTCCTTTGCTGTGTAGAAGCTTTTTAGTTTTGTGTAGTCCCACTTGTTCATTTTTACTAGTATTGCATCTGCTTTTGCTGTCAAATCCAAAAAAATCATTGCCAAGACTGATGTCAAGGAGCTTATGTTTTCTTCTACGAGTTTCATGGTTTCTGGTTTATATTCCAGTTTTCAATTCATGTTGTTAATTTTGTGTATGGTGTAAAATAATGGACCGGTTTCATTCTTTTGCATGTGCTGTCCAATTTTCCCAATACCATTCATTGAAAAGACTGTCTTTTCCACAGTGTGTATTCTTTGTTCCTTTGTAGTAAATTAATTGACCATAGATGTGTGGGTTTATTTTCTTTAATTGATCAATATATCTTATTTTAAAACAAAAACTATCATACTGTTTTGATTACTATAACTTTCTAATATTGTTTGAAATGAGGGAGCACGATTCTCCCAACTTTGTTTTTCTTTCTTATGCCAAATCTTAATGGTCAACTATTTTTGCAGATGTGAGCATATAAATAAGGCAGAGAAGCAAATATTAGTGGTATTAGTAAACAACTCCCAAACAATGCAAAAATAAATAGTATGTGAATCTGCCGAAAATAAATAAATTTTAGTCATTTGGAGACTAAAATTACTTTCAACTTCCTTTAATAGAAAATCCTCTTTGCCTCAGGTGCTGAGTTTCTCTCCTGGTGGGACTACTGCCCAGCTGCCTCTACAGTGCCGACTATTTCCACAAGATGTTGGGAGTTCCTGGATGAGAAATCTTCATAAACACCTTTGGACCGGAGCATTAGTTAGACCATCACTTTTGAGAAAAGGATAAGCATAATGTCTCCCCATTAAAATAATCTTTAACCCCCAATAACCATCTATCTTGACTTTGTTTTTCCATTTTATCTGATCTCCCCCTCTTTCTGTAATGTGCTCCCACCTAGCCTGATACAGATCTCAAAATAAAAATCCTGACAAACACTAAAAAATTAAATAATACACAATAATGTGAAAATAACATTTCTCATGTTCAAAGCAAATGTAAGGGATTGGGTATGCATCAACAAGCCAAATTTGTGCTGATTAAAGAAGAAAGGGAATCAATTTATTTCCTTAACATGAAACTATAAAGAAGGCAAATGAGCACAGCTACATGACTTGGCTGTTTCTGCTACATTTAGTGGACATATTTAGCAGTCTAAGAGGCTCCATCTCTGTCACCCAGAGTACTTTGAATAAGCCTGTGGAGCTGGCTTTTAATGTAAGAAAGCCAAGGTCATGCCCAAGTAATAAAAATAGGATCTGTCCTTGTCAAGTCTCTTGACAATCAAATGTCATACTTTCCCCTCCCACCCTGTTCTGTCCGTTCTAAGAAGATCAGTTGCTGTTAAAAGGCCAGGAAGACAAGTTGCATCATTTTTTTCAAATCTTTGCTTTGAAGGGGTTGCTATTAAAAGGCCAAAAAGACAAGTTGCTCCACTTTCCGCCCCCAAATTGTTGCTTAACCAGAGTGTCCTGAGTTTATTTGCCTATGTCATCCTCCCTTCCCTACTCCCTCACTGACCAACTATGAATATCCCTCAGAACTAGTATTGTTAAGAAGACACTGTGGGTAGTGCTTCTCTTGACTGACAAGGCATAGAATCAATTCAAATGAATGTTACAGCCTCTTAAAGCTTAAAAGCCCTAATTATTCACAATGACTTTGAAGGCTATAGGGAAAGTTGTATTATAAGAGGAAGTTGGGGGAAAGAAAACATCTCAGGCCAGACAAGGGCTGTTGTTTGCTTCTCTTTGGTGACTTCTTAATTAGCAAAGACAACACCAGAGTCTCTGCTACAGCCCCTCACACCCAATCTCCCGGTTCCTGAGGCATGGTGAGTGTCTGGTGCTCTCTCTGAGATGACCCTACAGGGTATCAGAGCATGATGAGAGGCAAAAATAAAATGCTCTTGTATCCCCCAATTCACCCCATGCCCAGAAATCTCCTGGGAAGCTTGTGTCTAGCAGTTATTTTGGAAGTGGATATGGAGAGCACATTATAGCCAGGGCTCAAATTCTTCCAAAGAAACTTTTTTTTTTTTAATGTTGATCAAAGCTCTCTGATTGCCAGATGATTTAAGAGTTGTCCAGTGAAGCCCTAACCGTTTGGCTCAGTGGATAGAGCGTCAGCCTGCGGACTGAAAGGTCCCAGGTTCAATTCTGGTCAAGGGCATGTACCTTGGTTTTGGGCAACATCCCCAGTAGAGGGTGTGCAGGAGGCAGCTGACCGATGTTTCTCTCTCTCTCATCGATGTTTCTAACTCTCTATCCCTCTCTCTTCCTCTCTGTAAAAAAAAAAAATCAATAAAATATATTTTAAAAAAAGAGTTGTCCAGTGAACATGGTGAGAGTAATTCTCATTGTTTCCCAGATGACAAAGTGATATGTCTGTCTGTCTCTCTCTCTCTCTCCCTTCCTTTCTGAAATTAATAAAACAAAATATATATTTTTTAAAGCATCCCAGGATATCTGCCTCCTCAGGAGAGGTAACTGCATAAAACGTGATCTTTCCCTTGTTTCTTTAGGCTTTGGCGCTACCAAAATAAATGCCTGCGGTGAAAGCACAAACTATGGAAAAGGACGGTTTACATTCAGTAAGAGCTTCCACAATGTGCTCACTTCTGAGTCAAAGTTCTGGTCTGCACCGCCAAGCAGC